GTTAGCACATGCACACCCAGCCCGCCTGAACAATAACCAATAAAGATCGATGTGGGTCACGCTGCCTACAACCAATGTTATTGCAGCACAACTGGATTTGACTCACATCAGAGACATGCGCACGGCATACCTGTGATAAAAAGAAGTGAAACTATGTAGCATTAGCCTTCATAATTGTGCAACTAATGAAACAATGCTCAACAAAGTTTAGCTTGAAGAGATTAAAACAAACTTCCACAAGGGAAGAGAGTCAAGAGAAGTCATAAGCATCCAGGCCTTGCTGGCTGTGGTCTCTGTGGTCAAGGGCGATGCTGGACTAATGGTGCAGAGGTCTATTAGTGACGACTGGCTGGGCACATTATTCCCTTTGGTCGCATTCCTCGCTAAATGCAGACATTTCCACAATTGAGGCCGCCTTCCAACCAGAAGTCATTTGTCAACTTAGCATCACAGAGGGACACATCTAAACTTTCATGATGAATTTTTGCAACCGGAAAAGCACAGGAGTGGGTATGGGCTGGAATGAGATTCTCTTGGTATAAATGACACAAAATGCACCAATAACTGGTGTTTGATATTTCACTTGACTTTTTAACCAGGCTGGTGATAATTTCTGGTTTTGTTTCAGGTTTGACACTCAGATTTTGATTTTGGATGATTTTTTTTATTAATTAACTTTTTGGACTAAAACACATTCATAATGTCTTCTGTCTATTACATCTCAGTAAAAGTATTTTTGGCTAAAGGAATGGTAAGATGGAATTGTGGTTTGAAACTAACTTTTTAAAATGTTGGTAAACCTTGCAAATAGATCACACTGCTATGCTTACATAGGATGTTCTACTTCTGATTATTACAAAAAAGTAAAAACAAAATTTAAAAAAAAGCTATGTTAAGAGCTGCAGGAGGTTAGCCAGTGGCTAAATCTGGTACACCCGTCTCTTGAGGGCCCAAATAAATAAACTCAAACTAAAACGAGATGAATATCTTCACAACTTTTCGTGGTGTGCACACAAAAAACAACACAAGGGGCTTCTTTGGATTTGTGTGCATATTTCTCAGCAATACTGGCTCAACAGCTGGTTTCCTGAAACAAGCAATCAAGGAGGCTTTGGAGGACAACCAGTTCTGCTGCGGCACACTATCAGTTTCAGGCTTTTAGGCGTTTTGGCTGAGCTTGATCGCAGCAGGACATATAAACCTGTAACACAAACCTGGTTGTAAAACTGAACTGAGACAGGAAGAAATGCAGGCTTTTGCTGTGGTCAGCGCTGCAAGGGAGTTTTCCCAGATAAAGCTAATCACTGTGCTTATCATCACAGCCGTTGTTGAGATTGAAACCCATATGCTCGCAATCACACACAGAAAACGTGATAATTTACATTTGTCTGCTGCGTGTTCTGTGTGTCCATAAAAATAAATGGTAATACACCTCTGAGGCATATCAATCACTCTGAGGAAGCAATGAGAAGTGAACAACAAAAATTATTAAAAGCATGTTTTTTTTCTCCCAACACTTGTTGAAAAGTACACTTGGATGTTCAGATTTGCTCCACTTTTTCCACGCTCGCTGCCGCTCTCTCACACCCACTCTCCCTCATTTAACACACATGCAGAAGTGGGGTCTTTTCGTGTGTCAAAAGCACCATCAAACTATGAGCTACTCTGCACCATTATTACCACAATGAGAGGTCCCTGGCCCCACAAGTCCACACACAATCAGTCCCAGGCCCTGCCCCACTCCCACCATTGTCCCACACTCCACACACACCCACACAATGGCCGACTCTAGAGCTAGGGGTCCCACCATGCAATTCCGTCACACAAAGACACACACAAGTCCTCGTCCCGTCAGAGAGGAGGGAAAAAGAACTGTAAACCTTCAAGTCTGATGGAGAAGTTGCAAAGCGGCGTCGTGTTTGTTGTGGGTTGCTGATAAGAGTTTTAATTGTGTTTCTCCAAATCTTTATCACCAGAGCTTAGCAATCATTAGCACAGCTTTCAGGCACAAACATAGGCGGACACATTTGTGAGAGTGCAGATGAAATGCATCCCACCCCTCAAACTCTGTCAATCACTAACAAAAGCCAGGTATACAACAGTGATTAGATATAAAACCTAAATTAAATTGGATATTTTCCAGCACTGCAACACCAGCACCAACCTGCCAGCGCCAGCAGATGTAGATAAAACCCTGCTGCATCTGTTTTCATCACATCTACTCACTTTCTAAACAGAAATCCTATTATCTGTTCAGGCTAATGCAATATCTGTAAAATATAGACGTAAAAGGGAAGCACACCGTTTACAGAAAGGAAGTAAACTCAACAAAGCGAGCAGATTATTATATGAGGCATAATCCCACATCTAACATCCCCACAGAGGAAGGAATGATTACATTTTTCTATCTCAGAGACTACTCATCCACATCCTACAACACGGCTTAATCGAAATGATGCAAAAACAATGACGGGTATGAGACAGTGCTGGGATTGCGTATGTGGGAACAGCAGGAGATCAGACCAGGGACAATCCTGCAGATTAACAACTTTAATATTTCTGCTGTTTAAAAGGTGCTGCAGAGGCCAGATTTTGACCCAGACTTTCCGTCTTTACCAATAAGCGCTGAAAATAAAATATGGTACTATAGGGTTTTGTCCTTTTTAAGATTATAGTCATAAAACCCAATAAATAATATAAGCCAATCTAAAAATTTAATAGATTATATTTAATTTACCATTAAAACATAAGTAAAGGTGATATTTGTCATCTCAAATTGAAATTTTGCTAATGTTAGTCTGTGACTTTCCCGCTTTATCTATTGAAGTTAGATAACAGGTTTTTGTAACTTCAATTCCTTCTTGCAGTATGCAGTAAGACAACTTCTATCTTACTAATAAAACCCCTGTTTTCGAACCAAACCTTGTTAAATATACATGTTCCTACAATGTACGAAAATGTGCAAAAATTATACAAGTAGCAAAAACTTTAATATTGGAGTTCAGGAGCATGAACCTATGCATTGTAAGAAAATAAATGATTAACAAAAAGAAATGAATGAATAAACAGAAATGTTTAAACAGACGTAATGGAACACTACGTATAAAAAATCTGAAGATTTTTAAAGACTTTTTAATACCCTGCAGAAAGTATTTGAAATAAAAGTAATTTTACCATAAGATAGTTATCTTACCTTTAAAAGCCACGCAATGCAACAATACATATTTATTTAGAACCATTGTGAATAAGAGTCTACCATCTTTTTCTTTAAAATTGAGACAATCATGATCACCTAATGAGCCACAGAGCTAGAGACCTTTTTAGACATGCTCTAAAAGTGAAATGATGATGTTGTGGGGCTGATGTGCTTAGGCTGGGTGCAGAGGGAGTCAAGAGGAGGCAGAGCAAGGAAGGAAGGGGGCTCTAGGAGGAAAGGGGTCCTGTGCAGCTTGTCAATCAAACACACATATGATCCTGAGCCGAATGCTTCTTAGGAAGTACTTAAAGAAATGTCATGATCCTCCTACAGAAACAGCAATTTAGGAATAAATATAAACTACACTGGCATACCGTGAAGTTACCTTTTCATACCATGTTATCACATTGCTCTTAAAGTTTAAAGTTCTTGTAATGAGTCTAGCAACAAACATGACATTCTAGATAAATAAGGTAGTGAAATTAGTGATTAGTATTTATTCTGGTGTCCAGTAAATGTGGAGCATCCAAAGACCATTTTCTTTAATCATAAGATCTAAAATGAACCTTTCAAATTATTTACATAAATTACCTCTGTGTGAATGCTTTAATTCCAAGTTACATACACAATTTGAGCTTTATGTCAGATATCTTTCAACATTCTTTTATATTCATTAGTTTAGATGAGGCTTTGCTGAAGCGCCAACTATTAGGTGAGAGTTAACTGGTTCATATTAATTCATATTAAAAAGTAAATTCATCGAAGAACATCCACTCAAAATGTCATAACAATATCTGAAGTAATGTCAAAATTATGCTGACTTTTACAATAAATATTCTGTTTCAGGTGGGAAACTTTCATGGTTTTCCCACAAAACTTTCCCCAGAATTTTGACATTTTAAATCACTATAGCTTTCACAATTTTTAAATTAAACCACATGATTATACTACAATTCTTTGCTAACATACATAGCTTTTATTAAAAATCAGTTTAGTGGTTAAGGTGGATTACAACTACTAACAAACATAAATGAACTGTTTTTCCAAATTTTTCCACATAAAATGATCTTTCATATTAATTTCATGTTTTGCAAATTGAACCAACATATTTAAAAGTTTCTTGAGATTAAAAGTAGTTGATAAATTATGTCTGCCACTGCAAAAAAACAAAAAAAAAACAAGCTTAATAGATGACACACATGACAGTACTTCCACTTCCTCCTTTCTGGAGAGATTTTACACTGACCTTAAGATAGAGAGAAGCAAGAACAAACTTATGCAAGCATTTCGGGAATTACAGACGCAGAGACCTCAGCTGACTGCTGGGAATCCCCCCCTCCTGACTTCAGCTCACTGACAGGCCAAGTACCTGACAAAAAGTCAGCTCACTTACTTCCTATATCTGCCTGGATCCATCCGTCCACCTCTAAGCGCCGCTGCAGCAGCAGCAGGAACCTGGTGTTTCTAGGATTTCTTTTTTTTTTTCAGCCACTTCTCTGAAAGCTGGCGGAAGGTAAAATAAGGTTGTCACGGCGACACGGTAGCATGTCGCTTAAAAACTGTACAGTAGTATAACCACTTCCTCTCAGACCGGAGTACAGTGCCAAACCTGCACCAGATTTTACCTGCTTATCAAGCCGCTGCTGCACACGTGAGAGCAGCTCTGATCAACAGGTCTTCTTCATGTTTTCCCCCTTTTTTGTCAAATCGATGATACACGTTAGTTATCACACACTGGACTACCAGCCCTGCTGAGTAAGTAAACAAGAAAGACAATAGTAGACAACAGTCGTAGACAACTCACCAGTATCTCCAGGTGTTTTCATTCTGCTTTCAGCTGAACTGGAAACCTAAACTGGAGGAACTCCACTAAAGTTGCTTGTGGAAGAAAAAGTCAGTCTCTGTGGCCTCCTCTTCCCGCTCCGGTTTCCAGTCTGGAAAACTTGGTGAAGACACGCTGAAAACTTTTTCTTCTTCTGTCGGGAGTTACCGCTTCGGCGGCTCTGTCCTCGCTACAGCCGCTCCGCTCTGACTCCGTCGGTTTCCCCGGATCAATAAAAACCGTAAAGTCCTCCTCCCCTTAAAAAAAAAAGAAGAAAGAATATGTACGTTTGTGGGTCCTCGCTGCTGGTCCTGGAGCAACTGGGAGCGTTTCAATCTGCTCAACTCGCTTCGGGGAAACAGCCAACGGTCGGTCCTGATTCGACCGAAAAGCCTTTCACTCCGTCTGCTCCTCTTCAAGTAGTTTGGCTAACTGTCCGGTAGCTGCTTACTCCGTCCCGGCCGCATCTTCTCACAGTCCGGCTTCAAGGCTCCACTACTTATGTGTCAGAAACCAGGGTTAGAAAGCAAAGCTGTGTTTCTTCGCAGACTTTTTAGCGCTCCACTCACTCCACTCCACTCCGCGCTGCTCTCCTCCCCCCCACGCCTCGCTCGGTTCCTCGGGGGTGTCGTGTTTCGCTCGCTCTCTCCTGACTGGGGCCCGCCCACACTGACGAGGAGACAGGAGGGAGGGGGCTAAAGTCGCGAGTCACGCCCACTCACCACGAGCCGGGGGCCCGCACTGGCGTCACTGCCGCACGCCGCGTCGCCAAGGAGACTGTTGCAGCGCGCTGCCGTGCTGACATCACATCCGAATGCTGCGAATGGAGGAGAGGCGCAAGAGCCGCCTGGCTCGCTGTGTTCTTCTGCGTCAGTCTGCGATAATTAGACCTTTTCATATCAACATAATTACACTTGTTAAATTACATGACAGCGTCAGGTGGTGATTAATACTGAGATCAGGCCGCTTAAACGCGCCATTGCTGCCAACTTTTGAAGTTCTGTGTTAGAAATTCACTTCCTTTCACATTAAAATGTATGTTTTGCCAGAAGGTTTGTCCTTTTTATGTGTTTGCATGTGTAGATTAAAGCTTCTTTCTTCTGTGTTTGTTTGCCTCCAAGTGTTCAGACATTAAAAACCTGTTGGAAATCAATCCATTGCAGGGCCAAGCGAAGCCTAAATGAGGAAGCAGTTTCATTTGGGGCCCACTTTCAGTAAGCCTTCCAGCCACCAGAGGTGGGCAGTTAGCAGTTACATGCAGTCAGTTACATTTATATAAATAGTTTTACTACTCCAGACTTTTTACTTTTACTTGAGTTATATTATTATGAAATGTCACTATTCTTACTTGAGTAAAATTTATGGATACTGTGAATAACTTCACTAAATGAAGAACAGACATATTTTAACTTGAAATGTACAGAAACCTACAGTTTATGTTAAACTTAGATTTATTTTTTTACATGTTGTTTTTCTATTATTGACTATAGATTTGGATTTTAGAAAAATGTTTTATTTTCCTGCATAAAATTTGACATTTTGTAATTATCTATTTGTATCATCTTTTCATCTCAGTCTCCAAATACCAGAATTTGCCCATATTTTTATATTTTTGTCAAGTCTCATGTCTTTTGAATCTGTTTTAATTTGGAAAGTCAATGCTTCTGATGAAACTATCCTAGTCAGAAGTCTAATAATAATTTCTGAGTTGATGCACTACTGCACAAAACATGCAGTGATTAGTGTCACACATATAGGCATTAATTAATAAGATGCACCACTACTCTTGGTACATTCAGCTTAAGAATAGAACAGAATAGAATAGAATAGAATAGAATAGAATAGAATAGAATAGAATAGAATAGAGTCTAGGAGGAAAGGGGTCCTGTGCAGCTTGTCAATCAAAACACACATATGATCCTGAGCCGAATGCTTCTTAGGAAGTTCTTAAAGAAATGTCATGATCCTCCTACAGAAACAGCAATTTAGGAATAAATATAAACTACACTGGCATACCGTGAAGTTACCTTTTCATACCATGTTATCACATTGCTCTTAAAGTTTAAAGTTCTTGTAATGAGTCTAGCAACAAACATGACATTGTTTGGACAAATTCAGTGTGCAACATAAGTTGTACTGGAACGTAGAGATATGTTACATTTCGGAGTCATTATAAAAATCAAATATGCATATACTATATTTTAACCTACTGTTAATGATTTATAATAATTCCATTTTCCATACTTGTTGACATAAAAATACAATGGTTTTTGATGGAGGATGGGTTTATGAATCCAATAGAAAATAAATAAATGACAAGACTGTCCCCATTCATGCATTGTCTTATGTTCTTAACATTTATTTATGTATTAACTAACCCAAAAAGTAATGCTGTTGGTTGATGTGTACAGGCTGAAAATAATGGAAATTATAACTTTTAAACTGTTACACGAATATGAAAAAAAATCAGATTTTTGAATCTGAAAATTAAATTTAGTCACATATTCAGCGCATCTCCATTAAGAATTCAAGAACAAATATTAAACCGACTCTATGACCAAAAGTGTTTTGCTTTACACCATTCACTTCATAAGATGAATAACATTTATTTTTATTTTTACAATAATAACCCATGTCACTACAGTAGCTTCCTAAAATGTCTGATAACGAAGTGAATATTTGACATATCCTATATGCTGCTCAGGGCACACTTTACCTTAAAGCTGGATGGTAAAAGACCAGAAAACATTCATCCATTCATAAAAAATGACTAGCCATTCATTGGCTTCTGTTTGCTTTTATGCATCATTTTATTTTAATGTAACCATTCAGACATGGATTCAGATATATAGAAAGACACTCAATAATTTACCAGACCCTCTCCATGTATACATTGTGGCAACAAAATATTAAAATATGCATTTCTTAAGTTCCTCAGTAAATACCTTAGATTAACTCATTTGCGCTTTGGGAGCCATGTCCAGTCATCTCAGCCTTTTGGAAAACAGGTGAATATCCTCAGGAAACAAGAGAAAAAGACTTGTTGCCTTTTATTAAAGCACTTTGGATGATTTTGAAGGTTTGGAAGCTGGATGTTTTCAACTTCAACACTTGCCTGCATGTTCCTTCAAAATCTAAGCTCTAACAAACAAAAAAAGTCTGTCTAAGAATATCCACTATGATTCATCAGTGACTATTTGGATAGTAAACTACTTTGCCATTTGGATTTATCGCTTTATTAGTGTTTTATTATTTGCTACAGTCACTGCTTAATGAGGACAATAATATATTTTTATAGTGCCATTTTCATCTCAGGATCTGAAAGGGCTACCAAAACAAAACAGTGTAAACAATTTATTTTAAAAAAACATCCAAGTTTTGCCAAAAGGACATTTCTGAAGCCCTTTTTAGAACAGTCAGTAGATTGTTGTTCCCTCATTTTCCTGTTTATCAATTTAACTATGTTGAGAAAGGATAAAATAATAAGAATTTTACTTATTTTTCCTCCAGCAAAGTGTGTCAAAATTGGGATGCTGGCTTGCTGTAATTGTCCACTAATTTTAAGTTATTTGCTTTTGCACATATAAAAGCATAAAAATGTAAAATAAAACAATACAAGGCTTTTCTTTATATTACACGTTATACACTGCTTTATACTTCATTTCATTTTTACATTTATTGGCCCCTAACTGAACATTTCAAAACTTATACAGTATATTCCTTGTTTGTTTATAATTGATATGTTTTAAGTTCTTCATTTTATTTTAATGTATTAAAATAAAAAAAATAAAAAATAAAAATACATTTTATTTTTAATGTATTAAAATAAAATGATGCAGAAGCAGCTCTTGAGGAATGAAATGCTTCACTTAGGCTGCTGTAAACACAGTCAATAATGACAATGTAATACATGCTGAAATCAACAAAACCAACCTCACTGAAAAGAAAAAAAAATAGATGTGTAAATGAATTTGAGTCATCATATGTAGAAACTCTAACTATGTTTAGCTAAAACATGCAGTCAGCACGAGCTCTATTATGTATTTCACCCACGACCACCACAAGCGGCTGTTCGGTGACCCGTGGCGTTCATTTGCATACGCTGTAGGTGTGGGCATATTGAACATCCTCACATCACAGATATATGTAATTTGTAAATGCTCTCTTTCTCAAAGGATCAGCATGACCTGTTCGACTGAGACCAACGGTGTTAAGCCCCTTCTTGCTTTCTGTCACCTCGAACACGCTGACCTTCTGCTTCCTCTTGAGCTGATAGAGAAGGGGTGAGGCGTCAAACATGGGAGGTGAAGTGAATCTCCTTTTGTGCCTTTTTGAACACTGGCACCTGGCTGAACAGGATGGAGGCCCGATATGTGTTTATGTGCTTTTTTTTTCTGACTACACTGTTACATCAGCGATACACACCGCTGCCCTGCCCCGTCAACAGGATAAGGCAGTGGTAGTAAAACAAAGTAAACAGAGTCCCCTGGCAGCAGAGTCCCAGTGGGGTGATTTACAAACAGGATTTCTCCTCCCTTCGCTGCCCATTCTTTGACAGCCGCAGGAAACGGACTCTGTTCTGCCAGATAAGACACTAAACCAAAAGAAAAAAACGCATTCAATTGGACACTGACGCTGTTGGTTTCGGAGCTGCTATCTTCTGCAGGGGCAGGACAACCACAGAAACAAACCTGGATGATATGTTCCCACACTGCAGCTTACAATGGGACAATAAGGGCACACTTTTCTCCTTCCTTAATTGGATGCTCTGTTGCTTCCTCCAGCATGCATCTAAAACACTACATTTTCATTCAGTGCTTTTCAAACCTTTGAATACCTCTTGAAACTTTTCACATTTGCTCATATTACAACAATAAACTTTTATGTATATTCTGACAGACCAACTGAGAGTAGTGTACATAATTGTGAAGTCAAAGGAAAATGAAACATAGTTTTCAATAATTTCTACAAATAAAAATGTCATGTGTGAAATTAGATGGCTGATCAGTGAAGGCCTCAGAGGTTTTATGGAGAATGTTAGAGGCCTATAATATTTTTAGAGGCTCTGCAAACATCTGGTGGGAGAATCATGTCCTCCACTTAGTCAGGCCGTTTGGGAAAGTGGCAAAAAGAAAATCCTTGTTGAAAGCAGGTGACCAGAAGTCTCATTTCCCTTTGACCACAATCCTTTAGAACCTGATAGGAGATTGGATGACATGGTAGGAAACAAAAGTTGCACAACATCCTGAAAGCAAGCGCCACCTTCAAACACGGTGGTGGCAGAGTCATGGTGAGCAAATGTTGAAGGTTGAAGCTAAATACAAGACAGTACTGAATGTTGTCTGAGAATCCAGCATCTTTTATTAAAAAGCAGACTTTAGCATACTCATTCAATACAATGGCTAAATACAGCCACGTTTTCAAAGAAACAGACTCACATCCTGTTTTTTTGTTAAAAGTTGACAAAATGTTATGTAAACCAAAAACACAAAAACAAAAGACAAAATAAAAAACCCACAAAAATTAATAAATTGTCCACCTTTCTTTCAGGACACACTTGCAGTTGCAATGTTATTTAAATCTCTTTGATCTGCAATGACCTACAGATATACTATTTTATTGGCTTAATTAAAATATTACATTAGTTCTGGACTTCTAATTTAAAAATATACATTTTGTGGCCAATGAGTAAACTTTTAGCCTGACATTGGCTTGTATTTGAAAATTTACTTCAGAATTAGTTCAGAAGCAAATCATTCTCAAATTCTCACAATTTCTTAGCTAAATTTCTCAAATTCATTTCCTTTCACTTCACAATTATGAACTAATGTAAACACGTAAAATACAATACACTTTGTGATTATGACCAGAAAAAACACCAACACTATG